CCGGGATACAACTCGAATGAACCACCACTTAATAATGTGACACTCACCTGTTGCATATGCGTGCACACGCACACGCGCGCGCGTCACTGCGGTCGCTGAATTTATAAATTATGCAACTCTTCGGGGTAAAACCCCTAAAATTACATCGATGATTCATTGAACCTGCAGAAATTTCAGTCGAGAGCTTTTATCCGTTCTCATGATTCAATAGAAAATAATTTAATTAAGTTTTAATCAAGTTTAAAAGATGTACTTCATTTTCATATCGATAATATTTTCTAGGAAGTCTGTTGAAACCTAAAGTGTATAAAATAGCTACTGAATTAGATAAGTCTATAAATCACGGATCCGCAATTAAATCTAAACGATCCGTTTTCTTAGGATTAACAGTTACAAACCTCGACACTGCGAAAAAAAAATAATGAGCAATTCACCGCGAGCATATATCAGTTACATCCAGCGCGAGTAAACAATTTCCAGGACAATAAAAAAGCGAGCAGAACGTTATGCAAAAAAAAAAGTTTACGATAACGAGTTCGGTTCGACGATTCTAAAAACCAACTCGCGTACGTAAAAATAAAGTATACAGCCGTCTAAATATATATAATGGAACTTGAACGTGCAAACGCCTACCTAGGCTTACGCGACTCTCGTTCAATATTGTACGAAGGCTCATTGCATATCGTGCGTCAGACACGGCAGCGGTAGTAGTACCGCCTCTTTATATCACGAGACGTATACACTAAACACACTCACATTCGCGGCAAATACGTGATGAGTTTATATTTGCCATAGAGCGGAGAAAGTTCACGTACATCGGTATATATGTGTACGCGATAGAAGAGATCGGCAGGCGCACATCGGTAAGTTTTATACACATCGGGCCGTTCATATAAGGCGCACGAGCTAAAGAGATCCGAATGCGAAGCATCGAACGTTTATGTACAAAGGTTACATAAACACACACCATCGTTGTTTTTTTTTTTTTTTATAAAATCGATGACACTTTCCAACCTCTGAGGTGGGGGGCCCGGAAGATGTGTGTAGTCTGCCTCTCGACTTGCGCAAAAAGTCCTCAACGAGGTGTAAAAGTAATCAGCTTGATGAATGGCGCGCGCCCGAGTTATCGATCGATGCAATTGCTAGATCGGCACTACCGATTTTACCGATTTTTTTAAAAAAAAATTTCCTTCCCCGGTATATGTAATACGCGCGCGCGAACGATCGTTTTGATAATTAGGAAAAGTCGCGACTTTCTCGTGGCAAATTTCGATAACTCTTATATACATCTTTTATATATTCATATATAATATTGGCGTAATACACAAACTCTTACGACTCGCGCTCAACTACTAACCCAAATTACAGCGCACGGGATTTCATTATTAGCTCTCAAAAGCTTCTTCACATGGTACTGCTCAATTATTGCGATTCAACGGCGAAATTGTTCTATATTACCTACAAAAGAGAAGATTGTTTTCATTCGCGCTACAGCCTTTTAAAAACCTGTCGGATGCCTACGTACAATTGAGCGAAAACTGCAGCTCGCGCGAAATTTCCCCGCGTGGAACGCTTTCTTCTTCGCGCGCCCGAGCCTATGACGTCGGCGCGCGGTGCATTCGCAATTGTCGATTCGTTAGTCGATCATCGGTGCACTCGTTGCCATATAAAATTTAGTGAAGAATCGGCCGTTGTTTCGGAAGTCCGATCGTCCTGCGTTTTTGAGTTGTTTTTTTTTCATCTCGTAGCTTTCACGTAAAACTCGATTTGGAAAAAAAGTTTATAATCGTGCGTTAACCAATCGCGTTGAAAAAATCCGGGTGAAAGTAAAAATGGTTTTCCTTGGTTTAGTGATAAATCTTCGACAAAGCTCAACGTCTTGCTTGAACTTAATAACTCGTGTTCGAGTTGAGTAGAATAACAAAATAAAAAAAACAATTTGAGATTCTTTGTCAATAAAATATCGAAAGTGTTACACGTACTCGACGAGGACTGCTACAACGATGAAAATTCATCCCACGACGAGAGACTGCTACACTAGATCGAAAGTTTTGGCAAAAATTTGTTGTCGCCGTTCGACCGAACATACACTTTGCCTGCGCAACGTAATCGTGTAATCGGCGATGTTACACGATCACGAGTCTCTACCAGAGGTTAACCTTGACAGGTGATCATTTTTGTTTTTACTTTTTTTCTTTTTCGACGAGTGTATACCGAATTCACTTTCTATAAATATTAGTTCGATGATTTCGACGACGTTCGATTCGATTTTTTTTGCGGACGACAATTATTATTAGCTATTATTTGTCTTTTCATTAAAAAAAAAAAGAAATAAAAATTATTTGCCAGTGCTTAATACCTATATCCACTGTAGGCTTATAAATGGACGGTTTAAAGATTCTCGTATATACTTTCACGTCAAACAATGCTCGATGATTATGAATAGGGAAAGTTTAATTATGGGTAAACGACGCGCGAAACGAACTTCACTTTTTTTTTACACAACGAACGGTCGAATCAGAAAAGGTTTTCGGTATTCACGTAAGCTGCATAACAACATTTCTGCTATTTTTTCGATTACGTTTGGCTATAATACGAGAGAGAAAGAGGGAGAGAGAGTACGGCGATCCTTCGGGATATGGCTTGATTTTTTTTACCAGAGTCATCGCGCGTTAGCCAAGGATATTTTTAACTTTCCTCAAAATTCATTCACCTTTCAACCTTGGGCGAAAAAAATAATGTGCTAATTAAAAATCGCCGACAAATCAAATAATCTTCCGAATTACGACAGTTTTTTTGTTTATTTTTTAGGATGAAAAAAAAAAACAAAATTTGCATCCAGTATATGATGTAACTTCAAATCTTCTACGAAATTTTTTATCTATAGGACATTTAAATTTAAAATTCAAACCAACCGAAATTCGCATACGCCTTGTTTATTCCCATCGATATCGCATAAATAACATGCACGAAATATTCCACGGTGATCTCCGCGGGACACTTCAGTTGCAACGCGGGCGCGCGCATTTTTGTTGCTTTAGGTCAATGTCTTCGACAATAAGGAAAACTACTTTCGCCAAAAGTATATATTCCATTGCACGCTGCACTCGCTGCTGCTTATTACAACGCTGAGATTTATACGTATTTTGCGGCGCTCGACTCTTTAATTCATCATATACACGTCCACTGCTCCACGGCAGCGTTTGTTTACATTCATCCTTGAATGAAAATGTTAAGGCCGAAAAAGGGCACCCGCGAGAGAGAATGTGGATTACGCGAATTGCCTCTCACCTTGACAATCGTCGTCGACATAATGCGCCCGATCGATGCTGCAGCACACCTGCGCACACCCGTACTTTTGACATCAACCGGATTTCATTGAATACATGGCGTTTGGCGATTTATTATGGTTCAAATCAATCGGAGTCGTAAACGTTTTTTGTTGTCAAATTCGTGTCGAAAAAAAGGTATCCTGGAACGCCTTTATTTTTTTCATTGCGTTATTTTATGTGCACCAACCTCGTGCGATCTCCAATGGTCATTACGCTGTGTGTGCGATATATATTATAAAAATAGTTGCTTAAAAGCCGTGGCGCGCAGTTGTTATTTGCGTATTGCACCCATATAACCACGGCGTTAATGCCTGGCTTGCAATTTTAGCATAATCAAGGAGTCACAAAGATTAAGATTTCCTAATTGAAAACTGGTTTTTGAATGCTTTAACGAAGGTTTGCGCGGCTTGACAATTAATAAAAAAATGCACGTTTTGTTTACGCCAATTAACGAAAAAAATTAAAAATATGAATAAGAGCTTCCATTCAAATCGTTGACGAAGTTTTTCTGATCTCTCGGATTACAAAAATGTTTTTTTCATCAATCATAAATTTCCATCGCATCTCGTCAGAAGAATTTCACCAATCGATCGCAGTAGCAGCAGCAAAAAAACTAAGACGACATTTATTCCTTTGCAACATCGCGCGCAAACACGGCAATCGCACCTAAGGTACATTTCGCATATCCAGTCATCATAATTCATCGTTAAGGCATTTGCATGATCGGCAGCCGCAATGCAAGCACACACGAGCATACCAGTTGTGTGTGCGTTTTAGCAATACGCGTACGTACGTGCATCTCTCTAAGCGCGCGCCTATCAGCGGGGCAAAAAATGAAAGAAAGATTTGCTACCCGTTGCGGCGTGTCACACTGCGAGCGGCGCTACCCCTGCATTATATATACTGCAGCTCGGACTCGGTAATGCACCGTGTGACACAATATCGAGGCGGCGCACACACGCGCGCATTCGCGAGGCCTCCAAGGACGATGTGCAGGATCGCGTCGATGGTAAAATAATAACAACAATAATAACGACGATGGTGTGGTGGCAACAAAAAAATAAAGGAAAAAAAAATCATCAATTTGGCGCGAGAGAGGGGCGTGCACTTGGCAGTAGGCAGCTTCGCACGAGTACGTATACGCGCCGCGCAAGTTGCTCGATTCCTCTCTCACTTCTGACGTCTACCTACGCGCAAGTGTGTAAGTACACGCACACACACTCGTATAGGATCGGTATCGTCGGGGCAAGCAAGCGCCGACGCGCGGCTCGGCTCGTGTGCTGCGCGGCGCGCGTTATAATGCGTGAAGGGGTATAGGAGAGCCGCGTAGCAGGCCCCGCTTCTCGATCTCCTCCGGTAAGACTTGGGTACCACCTTCGCTGGATCTCCTCAAACGAGCCTCGTACTCCGTGAGGTTAACATCTATCTTTTGCCGCATACTACATACTCTTTACGCCGTCTTATCCATTTCTCTCTCTGCTTTTAATATATATATAAGCTTCTCTCATTTGCCGAGCTCGATCTCTTTCACCTGCTGCTGCTGCTGCTGCTGCTGCTGCCTGTCCACGTGTGCTTGTATGTGTGAATGTGAGTGCGAGTGTCTGACTGCGTGTGTCGTCGTCGCGCTGCCGTGTGCATGTGCGCGCGCGCGTATCGTTTCTGTGTCTGTCTGTCTGCTACCGCGTATACACACACGGTGAGTGCGCGCGTGCATGTAACTCCAACACGCCCGTTTGGATATCATAACGCCCATAGTGTAAGTCTCTGTGTTTTATTTTTCATCATTGCTTTCTACATACTTTTTCCGTTAGTTAACTTTTGGTGTTAATTTTTCCTATTTTTCTCTCTTTCTTATCCGATCTTATCGCGCCTAGACAACGAGTTGTACGTGTTAAATGCATACCGGTTATCACAGATAAATCGATACATACTCAATTTCGCGATCGGTTGGATTTTTGTATATACTTTTGCCGCGAGCACGCACGAGAGACAGACCGAGAGACACTTTCAAAAGGTCTTATGTAATAAAAACGGACTTTTACCGGGAGCCGAGGCGATTTTCGAGTAGCCACCGATCGAATTGGAGCGTCATTCTTCATAAAGCTAATAAGGTCTCTGTCTCTCTCGCTCTCTTACTCTCACAATCTGACAACCTCGCGGCTTCGAGAATGAACGAAAAATCTATCGTATTATGCAAACTCGTATTAACCCTCCCTCCCTCTCTCTCTCGGTCGGCAACGCGAAATCGAGTTTAACTTGGCAACGAGCGCCGTACTATTACCAAATACATATTAGCCGATCGTTGGAAAATTTTCATCACGATTTTCGTCTATAATATCCTTCGCATAGTGAAAAAGCTCACGCATTATAAACGGTGTATAATATAAAATAGACTCGAGAGATTCTATCGATTTATGTAAGCGAAGACGCGTGGCGCGTATATGAGTTTGTGCAATAGACCAATAGATCCATCTACTCGTGTCTACGAGCGGCCTTTTGTCATTAACCCAGTTGATCGGTAAACAATCGGATCTCTCGCTCTCTCGCTTACTCGACCGCTACTCATCGCTTATACAGCTTTATTATCCAGTCGAGTGCTTTTTAACCTCAGAAACAAATATAGACACAACAAAATAGAAATCGTTAATTCATGTCCTTTTTCATTTGCAGATTTTAATCGCGGATCGTTCATTATATAGCCGGCGTACACTTATAATATATAAATAGCAAAGAAAACCACACACAGACACAATCAAAATGAGGATAGGCATATACTTTCTTCTGCTGTCGGGAGTGCTGCTGGCGGTGCTCGCGGCGCCGGCCACGAAAAATGAGCTCAGCGACGAACTCAGCCCCCTGAACGAGGTGAGTCTTTATTATTATTATTTTTTTTGGTTCAATCAGGACTGTATATAATTAGAAGAAACAAACAAACAAATGAATATAAATCGGTGACATGGTGGCTTTTCAACAAATATAACGGATTTTTGATGATAGACGCAATGAAATATAAGGCACGACTTTTTTACTTTTTTTCACGTGCTCACATAAATATATTTTTATTCGTTGTTACAACTGGTTTCGTATGTACGACACACAGCGAATTAATATATCTTTAGTAAGTCTGGAAGCAATTTCCATTTTTTATGTATATAAGTATATTATACATGTGAATTTAAGCAGACGGCGGATAGACAAGTCCACCAAGCATAAAATAAAGATTCTCTCGGTTACCCAATTTTTTTTTTCTATATTCCGAATGGCAAATATGTGTTATAGACCTAAATGTTGATCTCGCATGCGATGTATGTATGTATATAAAATATAAATCTGTCTATATGTACAAAATTTTTCGCAAAACTCGCGACTTTCAACGTTACGCGCATTCGTTCACGTCGTCGTCGTGTCCGCGTTATAATACACGTTCAGCGCGCAGAGAGGTTTGAAAATCCGGACGGAAGGAGAGAAGAGTATATTACATGTATGCTTGTGTGCGCGTACACATATATAAATACTCTCTTTTGGCCGCGCGTAAGTGAGATAAGAGAGCTCGCGAGTGAAAGTAAGTATATATTCGCACGCGTGTATGTGTGTGTGTGCGGTCCAGCGAGACTGTATACGTGCTGCACGGTAGTCGACGTCGTCGTCGTTAAAAAACCACGTGGGTCGTTGTTTAAAACGCACTGTGTGCAGTGATGAAGAACTATGGACTATGCTATCAGCCCATTGAATCCGTCCGCGGCTTTTTTTATTAATTGCACTTTCTTCGCGGTTTGCTGCCTATCTATTATTGTTATTTACATCGACGATTCGTCCCGAGAAAATTGAGAATATCAATTGGTCCTTGAGACAACGACGACGTCCTGCTGCTGCTGCACGATCGTTACGCAAAAAAGACAAGTTTTAACGTGTGATAATCGTAGAGCTTTGCTCGAAGCATACTCTACGCTGCGAGCCGAACGTTCCTAGGAATCATTTTTTCAAGCTTTTAGCACCTCGCATTCTCTTTCAATGCTAAAATATATTGTATGAAATATTAATTTTTCATTACTTACGCGGCAACACATCTTTGATCGAATTTTCAATACCTTGTTTAATGTCAATAGCCGAAATACCTCGGTCTTCCTCCTCTTCTCTCGAGCGTCAAGTCGCTCCTTTATCGCCCACGGGCATGTTTTATTTTTTTCCCATTTTTCTTTGTCCTCGTTTATATTAATTGCTCGATCTGGAAATCGAATTACTCGTTCATATATATATATTAAATCGGGCGTGACGCAACGCCGTTAAAGTTTTGTAATACCTATAATTTTTTAGCTTTGAATCACATGTGTACACGCATGCACACAAGTTTGTGTAGCCGCCCAAGTATGCGAGTTTTTCGCCAGGACTCTCGAATATACGAATAGGCGGCACTTTTCGTTATGGCGAACATTCAATAAAGATAACGTTTTGCCGCGCTAATCGACGCAATTGCGTTCACCGGCGGCTTGACACCCCTGTCATTATCGCTCGTATACTTGACTTTGAAATCAGGTCAATAATTAGTGTAGCGCTAAAAAATGCCAACGAATTGCATTCGCATTTATTATTATAATGCAATCCTTCCACGTAAAATCGCGAGGACTCTTTTGAAAAATTTCCCTCATCCTCGACTCTTTTTTTTTATCTAGCACGTTCTAGAATATAATTATAAAAAAGAAAAAACGGTCAAGCTAGAGCTCGTTATAAATGCAGGATTAGCCTCAAGCGCTGTCCTCAAAGATTTTTTTGCCAAGATTAAATGTTCGCAGTGCATGTAAATTCGTATATGTACTGTACATATGTACGGGAAAAGAGAGAAAGAGAGGAGGAGAAAAAAATGTATGAGTAAACGACCGATGAAGACGTCAACGTGAAACTTTACGATTTGATGATTTTGCAATCTCATGCACCGACGATGACAAGGCGACTGTCAACTCTGTAATAGCCGACTACATATTATACTGACACTGGTTATACGCACAAAGAGCTATAGAGAGACGGAAAAATAAAAAGAAAAGCCAACGAGTGATACCAAAATGTGTAATTCTTTGCTACTCAGACGATGATAATAGAAGATTGACTAAATAGGACGGAGACAGCACACGTGTTGAATACGCATCATTTGGGGCTACTAAATTGATAGATTGCTAAATGCGGCTTCGGGAGTATAAGATCTATTAACCATAATTATTTTATTTTATTTCTTTATTAATTAATTTTTTATACTCTAAGAGGAATCATTAAAAAACAACCTGATTAATGTCGTCTCAGGTTTCTCCTTCACAGAGCGAAGACGATAGCGGCGCTACCAACGTCAGAACCAAGAGGAAAATCGGCGCCATCAAGCTCGGAGCCGCCAACGGACTCATGAACTTTGTTTTCGGGGTAATTATCACATTTTTTTCATTATTACAAAATTCATTACAAAAGTAAAGAGAAAAGAAACAATTGCATCGCGAATTGATGTAGCCCTTGACGTAATTCTGAGATAATACATTACAAGCTCTTTCTTTCAATGTACATTTAATACGCCTTGTAACGGAAAAAAATGTCCAAGGTTCAGTCTCTCTCTCTCGAGCTTTCTACTAAACCAGCGACGCGTATATATACGTATATAATGCGTGCATGTGCGAGCTCGTGCCTCTTACGATATATAGAATATAAACTCATTTAGTAGTGCCCGGCACTATATATGAGTAAAAAACTGCATGTCGCGCGCGCGCAAGTTTTCGAAATAACTCGATTTTAAATATTCATAAATTATACTATTTACTTAAATATGCAACTATACGGCCTATGAAGTATTTCGACACTCTTGTCGCGTTCGTTTATCTACTACACGAGTACGTGCACGAGTTCGAACTCGATTCAGAGAAATGTTCATGATATTTAAAAAAATTAATTAGGCTCGTTAATCAGGAATTAACATTTTGAAATTATATTGCAGAAAATCGACGCTCTGCTTGACGCCGGCACCAAGTCGCTGTCGACCCTCGACGACAGCAACAAAGCCAAGAATCTCATCTACGAGATCGATCCCGACAAGTCCGCCACCAGCGAGTTCATCAGCAAGTTCCTCGCCCAGAAAGCGCGAGCCTCCGCGGGTGGCATCGGGCCCCTGATCAACGCGGGCTCGACCTTCCTGTCGAGCGCCAAGCAGGGTATCTTCGGCGCGGTGGCCTCGAAATTCGCCCCATTGAGCTCGCTGTCCGGTGGCTTGTCCAGTGGTGTTCTTGGCTCGTCTTCCGGTATTTAGATCGTGTTGAAATTTTCGCCTTTTTATTTCTTTTTATTGCAATATCATACCGTACTTTTAGGTGGCGGCGAGGACGGCGAAAACGGCGGCGGTGGCAGCAACAGCGGCAGCTTCCTGACCGGTATCGTCGGCAGCCTCAGCGGCGGTAGCGGCGGCGGCAACGGTGGTGGCGGTCTCGCCAGTCTCAGCAGTCTCAGTGGAAATCTCAGCGGTAACGGCGGCGACGCCGCGACCGACGACGAGGAGGTCGACTTCCCGACCATACCCGAGGACGACGCGAGCAGCAGCAACGATTCGGGATATCCAGCGGCCGGTGCCGGGGTAGGAAAAAAAGCAAAATTTTGAGCAAAAAAACAAACAAAAAATGATTTAAAAATAAAACGCTTCGATTGATGGAAAAGTGTATGTTGTAGTAAGACAATGAAGCATTGATTACCGATGCACCCCGCGCGCGCGTTGGTTCGGACTTGCTCTGTGGAATTTTTTTTGTTGACTTTAGCTGGACTTTTTAGAATGGGTTGATTTCACAGAGCGACGATGAACGATATAGGGTAAGGTTTTAAGTATAGTAGGATTTTTTTTTCTTAAAATATGATTCGTTGATAATTCAGTCGACTAAATACTTCGTAGAAGGTCACGAAAGTTGATTTTTTTACAATTTTCTGCATGTACATGTTTCATCTAATTTCCATTAAAAAAAATCAGATGACATGTTTTTTTCTAATTTTTGAAAAATCAATGCTTCATCCGATTTCTGTACATCAAATTTAACGAATGAAATTTTAAGCACGAAAAAAAACAAAATTAATCAACTGCACGAAGGATATTAATTGTATTAATAACAAAATTTGACATCGTTTAACTCAAGTAATTTGAAACAAACAAAAAAATGTAACAAATTTAGTTAACAAAACTTTAATTTTGATATTTAAAAGGAAACCCTATATTGCCATGTAACGTAATGTAGACTTAATAATACTTACTACCCTTGCGTCACTTATCTCCCCATTATACCAATTTGATTGCATCATACTCTACACTGACTCGAGTAGAATTCTTAGTTCCAAATAGATGAGCATACATATTGCATGGGTATACGTAAAACCTACATTATAATATTTGATACCGGTTTTAACAAGTAAGATGTGTATTCGCTTTTAGTACATGTATCGTGTAACTTTTTGATGGTTAAATTTTTTTTCTCTTTTGTTTACCATGTTAAAAAAAACCTTCAAGTGTCCCGATGCTGACAATAACTCACTTTAAATGTATTAATTCACTCTGTAATACGAAAAAAATGGTCACTACATAGTTGCATTTAACAAAAGATTGAAAGAATGAGGTTTTGTTTGTTAATCTGCACGCTCGATGGCTTTGACTTTTGCCTCACGAAGAGATGATAAAAATCAATTTGCACGTGACCAATGATGCCGATTGATCTTAAAAATAAAATTAAAATTAAAAGTCAAAATCGTCGAAAATGAGTGTTATAATGCAACAATCAAATTTGTTATGTACATAAAGGAGAGCTGTGTATATAGAAACAGAAATTAAAAAAAAATAAAATGTTTGCATGTGATACGCACCTGTAGTAATGTTTGAAATCCGCACCTTTTATTCACCGATTGACATTTTTTACACTTTTTAAATGAAATCGAGACTTATATTTTTGAATAATATTCAGTATGCGTATTCACCACCTCTGCATCAGCCTTACCAGCGTTACTACCACACCTACGGTATGAGTAACTCCTACGGTATGAGAATTCGGCGCTGATTAAGCTTCGAGAACTCTGCAACTAAAAGTCAATTATGTGCGCGTGCGGATAAGCTCGAATTTTTGGAATGCACCTCTCCTAGACTACCCGAGATGACGAGGCAGACAATACACCTATTGTATCTCATAAATAAATGGATAATCAAAATGTTTTACTGTGGCCATAATGTTAAATACACGATTGTGACATTAATATTATTATATATTGTTTATTAAGGTCTTCTCTTTTATATATTTTTGATTTATAGTGTTGAATGTTTAACTGTTTGTGTCTTCGTAATGTGTGTGTTTGTATACGTGTCTTTTTTACCATATCGTAATTTGTGATGCGTTGTAAATATCGAAGGCGAAAGCACAGATTTGAATGGACGATTGTTACCGAATCGAGCATGTAAATAACTCATGATCTTTGGCCGAAAGAAGAAACGCAATGGTTTTTTATCGTTAAGAATAAAATGATTGTCAACGTCAAAAAAGTTGTACGTTAATTTGGCAAAAATTTGTTCGCAAACATTTAGCTGTCAAAAGGGCAGCATCGGGATACTTTTTCGCTTATTAGTGCAGCTATCAAAAAATGGAATGGATAGTCTTGCCATGATCTGTTAAGAGATTTGAATAATTTTTGTAATAGTTTAATGCAATTGGTCGAATTAAAAAAAAACGACGGCACTCGTTGAAATTCAATTTGTTGTTTTCTTATTTTTCACATACAATCACAGCCCCTAAATAATTTAAAATAATCGAAATAGTTGAAAAGCCACCATAATCGACGATATAGAAATGCAAGAGATATTTTTATGTAAATTATTATAACTAAGCGACCATAAGTAACCAAATTATTTTGATTCCATGTCTTGTTAAAAAAGAAACCTCGAAAAACTCAAAAAGTTCAGAAAGCACGTGCCAAACCAACGACTACCACGGAAAAGATTCCAGAATTTGACAGGGAAAAGGTATCACTCGATCTTCCACCAGAACTTTTTGGCCAAGGATTCGGAATCGTGACTGATATCAGTAAAATTGTCGGTAGCGTAATCATGGTAAGTCATAGTCCAATTACGTCAAATTTCTAGAACATTTTGTCAGTTATATTTCTTTTTTTTTTACAGAATTCAGCTAAAAGAACGGCGACTATCTTAGAATTATTTAAGCCATTTTTCAGAGGGATCTTCACCATAAGCGGTCTTCCGTCCGACCAAAAAAATACACAAGTTAAAGATTCGAAGAAAAGCAAATTACGAAGATAATTTCTAACTATAATTAACAATTTTAACTAATTGACGCAATATTACTATAAGTATTGAAAATAACCTAAGGCCATTTAGAAATTACATTATGAAAACTAACGAATAAGAGTCACAAATCTTATTCTAAGATCTTCGCGATGTTAGAACCGAAGCAGAATTAAATGTGCCAAAGCATAAATTATTCATGTAAAAAATTTGTTCGTATCTACTCGATTAACATGGGTAATTTTTGTAATCGATTGTAAATTATTGTATAGGTGTAGGTATTAAAACGAGTATGTGATTGCATTTATGTGAAGTTCAAATTTTTGTACGACGTAGTAGCTGTCTTGAGTATTATTGTTACTTTGATACGTGTGTATTACTCGAGTTCAATGTGTATTCGTTTTAAGAAAAGAATTCGCAAGATAATAAAATAATAACATTTTGATGCATTATGTGTCCGGAGTTCGATTGCCGCTTTGTTAATATCCGTGTCTTTTTTTAGAAACGATAAATGGGAATTTGACCGATTTTTACTGATAGTACTGAATATAATATATTGATATCACGATAATTCACCGATGAATTAGGCACAGGTCAATTTCGCATGATGTATAGCAGATTTAAAATAAATCAAACGGGTAATAAGTTTTAAACTTTTTAATAAGAAAATTTGCTGAATTTTACAATATATTCATATGTACATATCTTGCGATAATCATCCGCCTATGTTCACGATTTTGAATGTACAAAAGCATATTCAATATATTTAACTTGAAAATTGCAATTGTTGCTTCTCGATCCAATCATGGAAAGTTCCCACCCGCGTGAAAACGTCGGGTTTGCCAACGGCGCACGGACGACCGAACGAAACGATGCCTACTTGAATTCCGTCGGCTACCAGAGGACCACCAGAATCACCCTAGAAAAGTCAGAAATCCATTGTTAGATTGATCTGCCTTGATCAAGTATTGCGACAAGAATTTACGCTTTAATGGTTAACACTTACATGACATGCTCCTTCGCCGGATTTAGTCAAGGTGCAAATGTGCGATTTTGTGATGTTGAAGCCCATTTCCTTGGCACACTTTTTGTTGTCAATCACTTTCAGATTGATCTCTTGTAAATTGTTGGGCGCACTTCCACCGAGCTATATATTAAACATATCAATTTTGTAGTTGACAATATTATTTCAATAATTTTCGATTTTTTTAATTAAAAAACTCATTGGTACTCACGAAAGTTGAGCCCCATCCGGTCAGAACAACGTCGACGCTCTTTTCATCCTTTTCAGATTTAGTGGAAAGTTTGATCGGCTGCACCTTATCGTTGAAGACGATGTCTTTGCTGACGCGTATCAGGGCGACGTCGTTTTGCAGTTCCCACATGTCAAAGCCATCGTGATAGACGATGTACTGGGACTTGTAGGTCTGCTCCTCGCCACCTTCGATTAGGTTGGTGCCGGCCACGATATTCAGTGCGTTGTGATCCAGACTACACACAATTCGTATTTGTTTAATGCAGAAAGTTCACAATTTGAAACATTTTATTTAGTGAATTTTTTTTAAATTACCCTTGAACGCAATGAGCAGCTGTGAGAACCCATCTCTTGTTGATGATCGAGCCGCCACAAGTATGGAAAGTGCCTCGTCTCAGCGAAACTTGGTAAGGATATTTACCGTCGGGCGCATCTTGACCACCGATGACTCTCGATGGTCGTGCTGTCATGTAATTGACGAAAATTTATATGAGACTTTTTTTAAATAAAATATGTCGTAGTCAGGTCGTACTATAAATATGTTGTCATCGCTCACAAGCAAGTTAGTAATAAAAGAAGATTTATTGATTTTGACCGGCAAAATTAACGTTATAATTTATTCAAAGATTTATTATTAATAAATTACCCTGTTAATAACATAATTTATTAGTTATTAACGAATATGCTGTTAACAACAACAATTGTGTTCTCCAAAACCGATACTTTCTCTTCTGAAAAATAATTTCTTATTAAACACAAAAAAAGCTTACCTTTAACGGCCACGGCAACGCACAATAAAATAGCCACCACGAAGAGCTTCATTTTGCAATTCGCACTTTGTACAGTATTTGTGTTTACACTGAGGTGAGAATGTAAACTAACAAATCGCCACGGCTTTTATATAGCATTTGAAGAGCCGCGATTCCCCCGAGACCACTGATAACGACTGAAATCAACATTTTTTTTGTATTTGCAAACAATATCACGATAGTATCAATAATATTACGCAGCAGACCGATCAATTGAAATTTCAAGGCATGCGGAGGCGACACTCATCGATTAAAAATTCGATACATGCAGTACGTGTTCGGGGCTTACCGTATTCCGCAGATCCTTGTAATAAATCATGACAAGACGAAATTCTGATTGCATTTCACTCGATTATCAATAGGAGTTTAGATAGCTGATGAGTATCATAGACGACGATATAAAGTGCAGTCGGTCACGTTTTGGTTTCGTGATTATCAAAATCGATCGCTCGGGATCGTATTGGCGACATATTCGGCGCCGTAATTGAGCCAAAAAGCTCAATCTTGAAGTTATCATAATTTTTTACTGCGCATATTGACTACACTTTGACCCTACAATTATAAATGAACTTGGGTTTCAATTAAAGTTCTAACACTGCACGTGTCATTTGTCAATGATAACACTAAACGACAAGGCAATTAGAGATTTAATCTTTGAGTCTCGATAGAAATTGCATTTCATACGCACGAGCATCGACTTGTAAGGCTGCATTTTTCTATTTTATCACTATCAAATAGTTTTCTTTTTTATTCTTCAAAAAAATGTCGCACGTGCAGAAATCGGTATGCTTCATTTTTATCAAAGATCGGTAACATACGTAAAAAATGAAAATCCCCATACTTGCTCCCAATTATATATGTTATAATAACACGTATAAGTTCGCGCAAATACCTATATGCATATTACATGAATACACATGTACGTCATTGGCGGTAGCGCAATAATCGTTTCACGAATGCTCGTCGTCGACCACGACGACGACGGTCAGCGGCTATTTCGCAAAAGCCGCTTCGGCATGAAGAAGAAGAAGAAAAAAAAAAAAAATCGCGCGCGCGCTCGCGCACACTCACATACGCATGTATTCGCACACGCACGTGAGCGACCTTGCGGAGTCATATAGCATAACCCATATTACCGATGAAATGATCTTCTTAGTTTGCAAGGTTCGCGCTGTCCGGCAGGACGTGTGTCTGTGTGTACGCGGGACGTTCGGATTCCTCGTGGCCTGTGACTAGACATCGTTTCGCGCGCTGCGTTTACTCGATCAAGTTGAAAGGTTGATACCAATGATAGGTAAGGATTAAATTATTAATTGTTTCTTTTTTTAATTCGTGAATCATACTTGAATATTTAACGTTGGGTGTTAAAATTATAACGCGTCGATGCTTGCTGCATTTTCTTTAGATTGAGACTTTTTTTTATTTTCTTTCTTCCTGCATTGAAATTTCCAAGATTTTTCATCGCGAAATAGTCTAATTTCTCGGATCGCACAGAACGGCGCCTCGTTACCAATACTTGTAATTTCTCAACGATCGTTTCGCATTCGATTTCATTTTGCGCAACAAATATCGCGAAGACAGGAGAGAAAATCGAACGTCGTCGTCGCATCAATCGGTCGCAATTCAGCGTACAACATACATACATACACATTTGCTCGGCATATATGAAAGTCGAGCCTATTATAACCATAGATTATAAACTCCTCGTTTGATGCGACTATCGAGTCTCGTATCGACTATCGCATTCTGCTTTTACTCCTTGCCGAGGAAGGATTCTCGGCAATGATCACGACTTTGATGTGACTTTGACGTTTCGATTTTGTTTCAGCGGATTTGAGAAGATTCGTCGTTTGGCATTCGAAGTTTGTTCGATCACTTGACAAGTATATACTCCTCGTTGTCCCGTGTTTTGAAACAGTGCAAAAGTGTGTATAGTTTTTATGGAACAATTTTGTGTCGTCGTCGTCGTCTTTGTACTAAACAAATATCAAGGTAATGTTCAGAGAATTTTATAAAATATTTTCATTTAGCGTGTTGCTCTTTCACCCGCGTGTATTGATTCAAAAAATTTGGTTGGCATAATCGCTTTGCTTCAATTATTCGCATTTTGACATTGGCACAGGAGCAGACAAATAAGTGTAGAAATTCATGCTGGGTTTTTAAAGAGCCGGTCAATGACCGGTAAGTGATGAAATTTCGAGCATTACCGAGCATAGGAGATCGATTTATGTAACACTTATACAATTTCACGAGCATAAATCTATACGGCTTCTTTCATTTCTCGTACATGGATTAAAATTATTTTTTAATAAGTTAATTAATACGCGAGAAATTTTCAGTTTAAATTTTCTTTTTCGAACATATTTTATTTATTCAATTGAAATTATTTAGTTTTGATATTAATAATGGATTGATCTATCTAAGCCTAATTAATTGTGAAAATAGCGTATCTCTTATCTATCTACGCTCTTATCAACGAATAGAATAAAAATATTTTTTTCAAACTTTCAAGATCTTTGCAGATCTCAAGACATTGTTTGATTACTTTCCAAGTTTTTAAAAAGAAACAAACAAAAAAACAAACAAACTAAAAAAACAAATAAATATGTAAAGAATGTTTGACGATCACTTGAAAAAAATTTCACATCGTATACGTATGCGCCCCTTGAGTGCACTGCAACGTGAGATGCACCGGTGTATGAATGTTTGCTCTTTGTGGACGTCAAGCCGAGAGCAAACGTCATACGGAAAGTGAAAGCGCGAATATGAGTTGCATTTTTTGTGTCGCATGACGTCCATTGAATTCGCGAATTTATCTTACGTTTCGCAAAAATATTTTCATTGCCGCTCACGCAAAAATTAATTTCCGAAATAGCCTCAACAGGTGTTAAGTGGATAAATGTCAACATTGAAATATTGTTATAATTGATGACTGCACAGACGAAACTTTTACCCGCAACGTCACGGTGAATTATTCGCTGAAATAATGCGCGTGAGTTTAGACAACGAAATCAATTACATATGCCGATCTGTTAGGTATGTCAGTGAAAAATTAGTACAGCATCAATTCAGGAACGAAAGCTAAATATATACTCCGTGCAACAATTAAACTGTCGTTTAAAACGCTTGGAAACTCGAGCGCAGGCATCAGTCTTCGATCTTTTCTTTCGATAGACAAACTCGAAAGTTTTAAACTAATTATATACGCACTCTAGCTCGTGCGGCAGACATTCAATTAGATGCAAAATGCATCGACACTTTTACCGATTAATCATATTCTCGTTTCCCTCCACGGCCAAGAGCCTGCACTTCCGATTACATATTTTTTCGAGCTCGTAATATCGCCATTTTTGACCGCTACAACGTACAATTAATCGATTCATTAGACTGCTCGGCACGTATAATGCGTTATATTTTGTGTGCTCGCTACACGCACTAATTGTATCATACGAACAGAAGGAATGTTATAATCGTTTCTTTTTTTGTCAACGCTTTCACCTCTCCGATCGTCGTAATGCGCGCCCATCGTCGCCGTCAACTTCGAACCCGTGCCCGGCTTTATAAGTGAAAGATGCCGGTGGTGTACAAGACACTTGTCGCGTACGCAAAAAAACAGGGCAGCTTGACCGCGCGTACGGATCGTTACGTGTCACTGATGCAAGAGCGATACAGCCGAAATACACTTATGTATTATACGCGCACACGCCTATATACTTACGTATTCGCATTATGTATGAATTCATATTATGTGTAACATACATCCTCTCCTCCAATTACTTCGGAGAGCCGATCTCGCGCGACGATAAATAAACATTCGCAAAAGCGGCGCGATCTCGATCGATATTACGCCCGCGGTTACAGCACCAGCACCAGCACCAGCTGAAATTCCTCGGAGGCTGTGCGCTGTAGTACTCGATAATACTTACGCACACTTAGGTACATTAAAAATGTCTGCGTGAAAGCGATCGGCGCGAAGAGTGTGCCGAGTATACTCGTCAACGGATGCAAGTGTAAGTTTTCGATTTCAGAAATTTCCTTTTTGCGATTTATGTATTTTATCAAAAATGATCAAGCCCTATACAACTAATTGCTCTCGTAACATTTATATTTCATGACTTATACAATTATTTTGACGATACCACTTGCAGATTTACAGATAATGGTAATTGCCATCTAGCGGCAGAGATTAACTTTGATTATGATTGAATTTTCTGAAATGTTTTGAGTGAATCAACACAAAATTAAGTAAATCAGTATCAAAACATTAGTTTCAGATCAAGCTTTTTAAATTTAAGTGTAGAACAAAATCCTTTTTCTTCATTTTTGCATCGAAAATAATGTACTTGATTGAATCTTCATGAATTTTATGTGCAGTTTATGTAAAAAAATAAATCAGCACTGATACATTAATTGCTCCACGAAGGTTTCATGTAAAATTACCTTGAACAAAATACGGTGTCGGTTGTTTTAACTTAAATTAATGCCTATTTTCGCATTGATCTGCATTAAATTTGACGTTTTTTACTACAGTGTAGTTTTTCAGAAAAATATTTTCAGGCAGGCTTCAAAAGTTTTCATCTCGATTCTAGCATCAATTTGTCTTGAACGATAAGCCGTTGCGTAGTTTCAATCGTAGTTTTCCGAATAATGAGCATTTCCTCGCTCGATCGTGCCTGCCTCGTGGTTTCGGGATAATCTCGTCAATTACGTATTACGTCGCCCGAAGAACCGGACGAAGCTCGAGAGCCGAGCTTGTTTATATATATAACAAAAACTGCGCGCCGAGCGAGCAAGCGTAAGCGCGTTCACTCTCACTCTCGATCGAAAACCACTCCGTGCGCTTGTACCGATATCGTTTGCTCTCTCGCGATCGTTTCTCCCACCTTGAGTGAAGGAGCTGCAGCAGCGCATAAAACTTTCGATTTCCTTTGGCGCGCACATCTGGTCGGGCTCGCGCGCGGGGGACCCAAGGCCGTGCGGCGCTGCGCTGCCCGAGGTACGCCAAGACACTCTCGTTTTCACTGCGCTTACCCTCCTCTTTTCCTCCGTCCTCCTGCACCACACGCGATTTATCCTTTCCTCCACTTATTTTCACTTAGGCGTACGTAACTTGTATCTTCCTCGCGCCTACGAGTCCCTGAACCTGCTCGCCTCACACACGTCGTCCTGGAAGTAGATACAAACGAAATACAAATTTTCGAATTGTTCGAGTGCATCCATATTCACTCTCGCCTTAGTGCAGGTCTCTCGATATATGCGCGAACATAGTAATAGTACTGCACATAGACAACTCCACCAACGTTGTTGCCTGTATGTCTGTGTGTGCAAAAATGGTTGCCTGCGGCAGCGCTGCCTCGGCCGCGGTGCACTACTCGCGGAAGTCGCGCGCGGGCGCTCGCGCGTAGAAAGTCTCTCTCTCTGTCTCGCGTGGCGCAGCAGCAGCAACAACAGCCTCGGCTCTGCAACGCGCCTCAGAACAGCCTCACTCGGACGCCGTCTGCCGTCTCGGTCCGAGCCCCTGCAGCAGCTAATACATAAAACAATAGTTCTAGTGTTTACCAATACAGTTTATTATAAATCAATACATTTGTCGAGATAATCAAAAGAAAAGTAAAGAACGGATAAATAGTAAACCGATCTTTCGTGAAAAATGTCCGCCAGCGTGTCGATGCTACGCTGCATCAGTGCCGAGCGCTTCAGCTTCTCACCGAAGACGGCTTACACGGTCGGTCGTTTGGTCTTCCTGGCGATATTCTTCATGTTCTTCTTCTGCTCGGGCTACGTGCTGAGACTGGCCGTCGAGGTGTTCTTCTTCAAGTGTCGCACGCTGCTGCATAGCTGTTAACGCACACAACGCAAACACACACACATATTTATCACACACGATGCGCCTGCTAAATTATCGAAAAAAACGCATCAAGAATTATCATCGCCTCGTTCAAGGTAATGAATTTTGGCTTTGCATTTGTACCGATTTTTTTGTTTTGTTTGGCGTGGCGTGACTTTTTTTGTTTCGTGCATGGTGATCGTCGCGGTGGCGCTGGTGTCAACCATGGCTTTTCTTGGAAGTGAAACCTTTCATTTATTTGTACAACAAAGGACCAAGTGGTGTCGAGCCTAAAGTGTTATTTTCCACGTCGTTGCACCGCATGTGATTTGGAAGATCCTCGAGCTCATTGTTTGTCTCCTTGACACATGCACATAAGCATACACACATGGAGTGTCATTCCCAACGTATGCTCGTTTAATGTATATAAGCGTGCGCAACGCCTCTCGTCGCACCGTGTGGTGCATTTATTTTCTCATTAAAAAACTGAAAGTGGCATCTCTCACCAAAGCTGTGTGTGCAAAAATGACAAATAGAGAGATTACTTTCTTCGTGTGCATCATTAGCGCGTCCGTTTTTAAGAATAATTTAGCGCGAGATTTGTGCAAGATTATTTTTATCGAGCGAAGCCGAAAGTTGGTATATTAACGATGGATTTTCACCGAGTCATTAAATTTAGATTACGAGAAAAAGTTGTGTTGTGGACTAATCACTTGCATAACGTTTGTATGTATAGACGATGATTTCGCTGTTTGTGTATGAAAGTAACGCGCATTAACAATTTTTCAGAAAATCTCGTATGAATTTTGACAGCTAACGACACGTACTGCTGCGGTTTCTACTAATTCTATACATCTTATGCCAAATTTTGCGAATCGGAAAACATAATAATCTTATTATCGAATAGTCCAATACGCTCGCCGCAATCCTCGACTTCATCGTAACGAGAAGCTTGTAAATCTTTTGTGTTATCACACGAGCGCACCTCGCGTCCAGCCAAACTCGTTCGACTTCGCTTTCACTCTCGTTCTCGTGTAATGGCCTCGCATGTATGTATACTTGCGTGCAGTAAGTGAGTGTGTGTACGCGATCATTTCACGCTGACCGGCCACTATACGTACATATCTACGTTGCCACATACGCACACACACACAGACGTGAAATGCACTTTTATTGCGCGAGTTCGTTTACCGCACTCACTTTGAGCCGCTGGAGCTCAAATGGCACATGGTACTCGTTAATCAATTTATTATATGCATCCCGCGGTGTTAACGTTTGGAAAAATGATTGATTGATGGACGATGATTGATTTTGTTATGAATTTTTTTATTGTTTCTATTAAACGAAAGTAAAAATCATTTCTTTTTACAAAAGTGTAGATTAATTATCTAAAAATATGTCACAGAGGAATGAATTTTCTTTTGGAGATGCATAATATTTTTGCTTCGATGTGAACTTAGATGGCAAGGTAAATTTGTAACTTTTTTGTCAGTAACTGCACCGACAACTTGTAAAACTGGTTTTCCTTCATAGGAATACGCAAATAGAAAATATTTTGAAATCTTTCGAGGTGTACTTGTGTAATGAATGAGAGCGAGTGACCAGAAAAAAGTTTTCCAACATATTTATGAAATATTCATCCAAGTTTTTACTCGATGATAATAACTATGCAAGATTCGCTAACTGGCACTAAGTATTGAGTAATGAATTGACGATTACTTGCAAAAATGACAAAGAAAGCATTCGTGCAGGACTAAATGCCTCTGGTGTCTCAGTTTTACTTTAAAACCTATTGATTAAGAACAATTCGTCGATAAGTATCGAGTACAATGACATTGGAAAAGGTCAGCTGTAATGTTTGCGTTCGACTCGATGCAGTATAATTAATACTAATTTTTTGCATGTCCTTTATTAGCTTTCTTAGAATCTACTATTTTCCTCGTGTTCTATTTTCAAATTTTTGTTCGAGCTTTTCAGTGTCGCTATTTCCAACAATGAATATTGTTCGCGTTCACAACGCAAACAAACATACTTATTAAAATATATGAAAAAAAATATGAAAGTTTTATTCACGTCATGAGTCTTTTTTAAAAAAAATTAAGCAATTCATTTCGCTTTTACAATGGAAAAGAAACTGTCTTAGCATTTAAAATTCTCTACGCACCTGCTTCATTTGTTTCTGTTCACAAGTAGAAAAAAACACTAAATGAGCAAGGCGAAGCTTTTCTCGTCTATTGAGGTTAAATTTATGACATACGTTTAGTTGCATGCAATGCTGTGGTTGATATGAAAAATGCATTTGAATTTTCAAGTGAAATCTAGGAATTGAATGGCCGCTAGTTGCGTACAGTTTATTTGTGGTATTCCGCAATATCCAAATAATGAAAATGCAATCTATGATTTCAATCGATTCGCAAATACATACTCAGAAACTTCATAGCGAAATTATAGTTATTATTTCGAAGATTGCATTATTGATAGAACGTATTTATTACCTCATTGAAATTATATCGTTTATCGAATAGAAAGCCATTTTTGATTCATTTTCATTACGTAAGCTAATAATGCGTATTAGCAAAAAAAGACTTATTCATCATCATATACCGTTCAAGATGATAAATTTTTTTCATTATTTCAGATGAATCCAAGGTCGCAGATGGCAGCGAAGCTATACCTTACTTTCCTACTGATAATTGTATACATCTTCACATGTGATGCCGACAGACTGCCAAAAGTCAATAAATATTTGGAAGTTGAAGATTTAACTTCGGGCGCAGAGATAGAGAGGAAGAAAAATTACGAGGCCAACGATAAATTGTCCGATGTACAACCATTAGGAGTTTTATACAATTACAGGAGAATACCAAGAAGTCCCCAGAGCGATGCAGAAATTTCGGCAAAAAGCTCGGCAAAAAGCTCGGTAAAAAGTCAAGTAACGGGCAAAAAAGCTCGTAAAGTTGAAAAAAAGCCGCAGAGACCTGGATTTTTATGGACCATAGCTAAATCTACTTTCGAGGTTTGTAATATCTTGAATAAAAACAGAGTATCGATTTGTCAAAAGTATGAGCACCTTAATTGAAAAAAATTACTGGTAGAAATGCTTAAAATTTAATTGCTACTCTTTGACTTAAGTAGTAGTAAGGTTCAGAACCACGAGGGGGGCCGGTAAATTTTCACAAAACCATTTCTGATTTATACAATTTTTTTACTTTTCCACTTGCAGATATACAGATCCTCGCCATCTAGTGGTGAGGCCTTGAAGTGATTGATCGCTTTTAAAGTAGCTGAAAACTGGTCAACATTTTTTAAAAAAATCACTTTTAAATTTGCTTGAATATTTGTAATATAATCATAACAGAAAAAGTTGATGATCGTGTATATTAAAAAATTTTAAATTATAATATTATGGTTATTTGAACACTATATTAATATTGAGCATTTCAAGTAGGAATAGAACTGCATACATCCCAAGATAGATGTACTTCAATTTTTATTAAGTTTTATATTGACGAAATACTACGTAATTACGTACTTTCAACAACTTAATACGCAAATTGGAAGGCTTTGACAGTCCATAAATTTATCATTCAATTGTATAATAATTGAAATGAAAGAGGCGCCGAAGCTGCGCAATAACGCGAAAATCTTTCCCGAGAGATTTGAAAGTCTCGCCAACCAATCATTGAAGTCACTGTTTGCATGGAAAAGACTTTCGGAGATTATCTTCCCATTAACTTTTTTGCCATTTCTTTTTGAATCATCTTTACTTCTCGTAATAAAGTCACACTCCGTAATTTTATGGTAATGTTGCAGTGCTGTTGAATAACCTCGAAGTTACAGTGATTGATCGTTCATTCAGGCAACGGACAGTTGAATAAATCGTTAAAATAGCCTTTGAAGTAAAAAGTGCATTTAAATTTGTATAGTGATAGTATATTAGGGGCCTAGAGAAGCAATAAAAAATTTTTTAAAAATACATCTCTGGTCGCGATCGTGTCGAAATAAATAGTTAGTAAATTGCATAATGCAATGACGCTTTATTTTCTTTGTATTACACATGGAAAATGAAAAAAAAATCGCACCATTTTGATACGCTAATAATTTCATAACATACTTCAATCATTCAATTTTGAATCATCTTGTTGAATCAATTATAGTTTTAATTCGTAATTAGAACTTAATTGAAACCTTTTCTATATGTTTTTAGTGTTTTAACAAACAAATATTTCATAGATTTACACACTTTTAAATTTATATTTAAATTATTTGTCAAATAAAATACAATATTTAAAATTATACATTAGAAAGTTGATAACTTTAATTATTTAAAAATTCATTTATAATTTTTAAAAATGAGACGGATAATAATAACTGTACATCGTAACTTAACATTTCTGCAACAATTGCATGATTCAACTCCTATTTATATGCTGTTGTAAAGACACCAGTGACTAGCGGGTTGCCAATGAACCAGGCACTGTTTTTCATTCATTTCTGCTAACCGGTCTTTCTCTGTTACATCACTCGTTCACCTGAACTCTATTTTATTGTACCTTAAATTAGAAATGATCAAAGAATTAATTAGTTTTTTGTTCTTTTTTTGGAATGAAATTTAATGTAAAACTTCTAATAATCAATACTTAAATAAGTTTAATATTTTTGAAAACTGATGATACGAAATTAAGTTTCAATCAAATGTATTTTTATAATTTCGTGATAATATTTACTATAAATATTCATTACACAACAAAAAAAGTAATTTCGATTAACTTTATTTGACTTTATGCAATCAGTGAAACCATAAATCAGTGAAGCATAAATGAGACTGGTGATCATTTATTAATATACAATCAAGAAGCCATCCAATTTAAATTTTAACAATCTGGTTGAACAAAAAAGTTTATACTCACGAAATGAAAATGCGGGCACGAATTTTTAATGCAGCGCACGCGAAGCAAGCATTACTTTTTCACAAAAACCTCAACGTTGTAATGTAATTTAAATTGCCCTCTTCGCGTGCGCCAAACGCATATCTCAGAAGATCCGAAAATCATTCGCGTTGCGGCACTTATGTGTGTACCTTATATACCGCAAGACGAATCGAGCCCGCACTTTTTTTTTCGAGATTGGCCCAAATTCAATGCAGTGCAAGAGCGTTCATTTACATAATATCTCATTACTCTTCTTGCCCGACGGTTATCACGCAATATTCGAGCACGCGTGAGCAGACATGTGTTTCAATTTTTCAATAAATCGATCTGTTATTTTCTTTCTCATTTACTGTTCACAAAAAATAAGTAAAAAAAATTGTAAAACGTTTCAGACTTTCAACGATACCAGATCAGCCATAAGTCAAATTCGCGGTGTGCTCAATAACGCCATCGACTTCGATGGTGCGAACAAACCGAAAAAGACGAGTGGAAAATCAACGAACGGCAGCCAAGGCAAAGAAAAAAAAGAAGGAGAAGAAGAGGAAATGAAAAAAACTGACCCAAGCGTCATAATGGGTATTATTAGAAGAAATGTGAAGGGCCTGGTCCGCTTGTTTGGAATCGAATGGAGGGACGCCATGGAAGTAAGAGATACTGCTACTTGAGTACTCGTGCTGAAACTTTTGACAATTGTTCCAACTTTGATGGGAGACGACTTGACCGTGATGATGACTGAGCGAAAAATTAGAAATTAAATCTACCACAGGAAAAACTGGCCAACGACGATGGCGACGACGAAATGATCTCGATTATTTAGATATAATCCTGATCGCAATTTGTACTTAATGCACGACGATAAATTGTATTATTTCATGCGACGTTAAAGGTTGTAGCCTCTCGTGTTCTCGTGTAGCAGGTCTATATCCGCGAGTCAAAGCTCCCGCGCGCGCGCGAGAAACAATTTTCTTGATTAATTTCGCGAGCCAGGTGAACATTGCGAAAAAGTAATTTATCCGTTACGTAAAGCCGGCGGTTCTCGTTGCCTTCCAAATTGCACTTTCGTTTAAATTTATGGCCGTGTAGACGCGCGTAGGTACACGTGTATATAAGTTCGCCCGCCCGTTCCTATTATGCATTGTATACGTGCATAATTGCCTTTTGATGCATCTTTTAATATGCGGTATAATATTGTGCATACACGCGTATTTTGTGATTATCGATTTTAAGATTTCTTGACATCTACGAGCGTGTATGTAACGACAACGAAGGAGAAAAAATTCGTTCGAAGGGTTAATGGACATGATTTGATGGAAGACTTGACATTTTAAGATCGTGTACGTGGAGACTTTTTAAAATAAAAGCACTCGACAGATGACATAAATTTGACAGGCCGAAGTATCGGTGCATGCGTGAGTTACACGGGAAAAATGAAGTATTTAATGTACTTGCATATATGGTTCAGCGATTGAATTTTTTTCTTTCCTACGTATGATATACCTCACAAGTGGATTCTTATCCTCAAAGTACATACATTAACGAGGATCGCGTGCCTCTGATCCGAAACGATTAAAAGCTGTGCTTATTAAAAATTTTCTCGTATAATCTGCATATCGTGCGAAGGATTGAGACGTCACGCGAGCTCACTTTACTCGACAGGTTGCTTAAGAGACAATGCATTTACGTCGATACAATTTTGTTACATTTTTACTCACTAATGATTTCAACACTGTTTCAAAATACAATTTTGTTTATTTTTATTAATTTGACCGTTTTATGTTCACAGCAATCGAAGAAAAACGCCGCAGAGTTCAGAAGGGAGCTTGGCAACTCGATCGGTGGATTTCTGCAAGATAACCCGAAGAATTATCCGAAGAACTGAAACGACTGACGTTTTACATTCTGATTTTGCTGATTTGCTCATCGCTGATTGTGGAAAATTTCAATAGGTGTACTTTATGTTTTATGGTATAAAGGAATCCGTGTTTGTCTTCATAAATTGCCAAAGACTTTAGTGGAAAAATAAAAGGCTGAATGTATTTTTATTGATAGAATTGTTATCATTAAAAATATTGTTTGCAGCGCGTATAATTTAGATTTTGTGAAAATTGAAATTTCGTCTCCTTGACAAGCTTTTGTAAGCCTCTTAATCCCGAGGGTTTGTGTTTATAAGTTTAGAAAATGTATTTTAGACACTTTTTGTAATGTGAAAGGAAAAATACTTCAACTGTTTTGTTAGTTTTTTATTTTACGAGTTATGTTTTAGGATTTGTAAATATTTATTTTGTATCACTCATGTGTAACAGAAAATACGTTTATGAAAATTATAGATTATTAACTAGGTTGTAATATATTTTAGTTTTAAATACAATTTTTGGAAAGTGTATACTGCTATAGACATCGATACTGCAGTATTGGTTTTATTAATTCTTAATTAATCTTTGTTCAATATAAGTGAATAAAAAACGAACAAAAAAGAAATAAATATCTCAACAATCTTCATTTCGACGAAACCATCGCTCGGTGAAATTTACTTTTTCGGAAACTTCACTATAATGCAGCCTGCAGGTAACGAACTTCAAGCTCGGTTTGTTTCGAAGATCCACTACTTTCGATAAAAAGCAACGCATACTTTTGAGCAAAACGTCAGCGCGCGATCAGCGTTCGAGAAAATTTATGTGTTATCGATGGATACCTCTTTTGGAGTCAAATGTACCTTAAAAGTTGGCGAAAAAAAGTAAAAGTTCGCCTCCGACGTGTGTATCGAGGAATACATCAGTGTATAAGCAAAATTTCATCTTCGAGTGTGCTCGGCTGTTGCTGCTGCTGCAAGTCTGCGATTACCCAACAACCATATTGTAGTATAGAGACTTATACACATTGTGTGTAATAAATTTCGTATTCCAGCGTTATAATAATAATGCAGGTCGATCGAGCGTGCGCATAACAATATTGTAAAAAAAAAAAAAAAAAGAAAAAGAGGAAACGTCTGTAACGTCTCAATTATCATTTCACGTGTAGGATCGAAGCAAGACAAAAGAATAATAAAATACACACGAAAAAGAATCACGTGTCGTGCCGTGCACTTTTTCGTGTATTTTGGTGATTATTCTCGTCATATGTGCTGCTTCATGTATTATTCAGTTCGATATCGCGCTTGGCTATGTAATGCACGTATTTAAAGAAGAACGAACGAATGAAAAGTAGAAGTAACGGTCCAAGAACTAAAAGTGGAAAATAAGTTTGTGTTCCTTTTTTTGATTGTTTCACTCCGTAAATCAACCTGTATATCCCGCGCTACTAATGAAAATATATTACTCGTTTGCCTCTTGGATTTTGACGTTACTGACAAAGGACTTAACAACGGCGAATAACGAGCCTATATATACGATATAGCTCCAATCGCACCACTATAGGGTGTCGCGCGTTTATATATATACGACACGACACATCGTTAGGCTCGAAATTATATAAATCGAGCTTGGAGGAATGATGAGGCGCGCACACACTCGATCGATTGATTTATAGATCGCGTGAAAATTCGTTTGTTGAATAACCGATCCAATTCCACTGGATAAAGTGCAGTTCTGATTCGCGAGGTTCAATGAATTTGATCACTCGAATGAATCATTTTATTATAAAAGGAAGAGCATGCCACCGACACGATACAAGCCCTTATTTTATTTTATTTAAGCGTTCACAATGGACCGCTACCCAATAAAATCGATAATAAACGTGAGTATCAATTTCAATTATCCTTCAAAATTTCCCATCCGAGGCTGCTGCAGAATTATGAGTTATTTGCACGGCTGTGATCTATCGGTTCTATTACGGAATAGGATATATGAATGCATGACGGAGGCTGGAAATATAACTGCGTCGATGCGATCAAAGTAAATATCAGGGACTCGTAAAGAATTGAATGCCTCCCTTTTTTATATTATCAAATATTTAATATTACCAAATATTAATTAAATATTCATTTATTTTTTTTAGTTATTCTCTACTTAATATAATTTAAATAATGTAACTTGAATTTAGAACAAGTTAAACTTTTCAAACTTATCAAAAGATGGAGAAATGCAAACGCGCAAGTAAAAGCCCCTAGTTATCCTAACTGGCATTACATGTCCTAAAAATGTAAACTTCCTTGTGTAGGAAGATAAATGAGATAGAAGAAATAGGGAACATGAGATGTCGGGCAGCATATCAGTTGAATAATTCATCGATAGATGGCGTTAAGTAAAATTTCGAAAATACACAAGAGAAATAATCAAGTTAAGTAAATATGTATAAGGTGACCGGAAATAATTCTGTCTAATTATTTTTCAAATAGTTTAAATGGCTTTAAAACCGTACAGAATGCCATTTTCTGAGTTGCAGGATTTTTGTATTGATTAAGTCCAGGCAGAACGTTTTTTAAACGTTCCTACTACGTTGTATACATTCAGAAACGAAATTTAGGGGTGGACATTTAAACGTTTCTGGAAGGTTCTACAAACGTTTTTTACACTTTTTTCTGAAACGTTCCAAGGTTTCCAATCTAACCTTTCAGTAACGTTATAAAAACGTATTGTGCTATTAGGGTACTTTCAAATTTTTCTTCGGCTCCAGCCCACACAGGATCGCTTTTATTCTTTAATCGTCCTTGTTTGTCAAATACACCCATGTCCCTCATCACATCTATTATTTTTTCTGTTGAAACAGAACGTTTTAACCCTGTTTTTTTATAAATTAGACATATTTACCAAACTTTATTACTTCTCTTGTGGAGTCTGAAAATTCTACTTGACACAGTCTACCTATGACTTAACTACAAGATTGACTGTCGTTTCAGGGAGATTTACACTAATACATATTAATAATTCCATTGTGAATGTCTTGAGTAGGGATGTGCTTCGAGTACTTGACTCGATTAAATCAAGTTGTTTTTCAAGTACTAGACTCGAACTTGACTTTTTTTGTTACAACTAAGTAAATGATGAATTAACAAAACTATGAATGCCTCTTTTCCATGAGCATACTCTTAAATATTATTTTCTTGTAACGCTCGTATTTTTACAATACGTATACATTGTATACAGTGGCAGATTAGAAAAAGTGCTACCCCCCCGAAATTTCAAAAGCATTTATATGAGATTTCGAATTGATGAAAGTATTAAGGAAAAGAAACGTTCTGTAATGTAGTAAGGACTTTAACTCATTTTCGAAAAAGTAAAAAATCTGATTCCATGAAAACACCACAACGGCAGTCAAGAAAGGTAACAAACGTGTAATGATATTTAATATCAGGTAAGAATTAATCATTTCAATTTTTATTGCAATTTTTGATAACCATATATATTTAAGTATCTATCCATATTTACGATTGACAATCATCATTACTTCTCCAAATTGTAGCTTCCATAAACTTTGCCTTCTACATGAACTGTCTGTTGGTGCCTAATCAGAGTAAATTTCAGTCCAAATTTCTTTTTGCACTTGTCGCATGCGAAATCTTTACGACCTTCGTGGACTGTATTTTGGTGTCTGATCAATTTCGATCTTTGTCCAAATTTTTTCTCGCACTTGTCGCATGCAAAATCTTTGCGATTTTCGTGTACTGCCATTTGGTGGGAAAGCAAAGTCGATTTTTGTCCAAATTTCTTGTCGCACCTGTCGCATACGAAATTTCTGCGACTTTCGTGTATTGTTTTTCGGTGTTTGTTCAGATTGCTTTGATCCCCAAATTTCTTCCCGCATTTATCGCGTGCGTACATCTTATGAACTTCATGTACAGTCCTTTGGTGCCTCAACAACTCTGATTTGTATGCAAATTTTCTCTCGCACTTGTCACACGCGTAATCTTTGCGACCTTCGTGTACTGTCTTTATGTGCACAAACAAGGTCGATTTTTGTCCAAATTTCTTCTCACAATAGTTGCATGTAAAATCTTTACGACCTTCATGAACTATACTTTGGTGTCTGATCAATTTTGATTGTACCCCAAATTTTTTCTCACATTCGTTACATGCATAATCTTTGCCATCTTCATGTATTGTTTTTTGGTGAAAAAGTAAAGCCGATTTATGTAAAAATTTCTTCTCACACTTTTCGCATGGATAATCTCGACGACCTTCGTGGACTGTTTTTTTGTGTTTAATCAAATTACTTAGATCTCCAAATTTCTTGTCGCATTTGTCGCATGCATAATCTCGAAGACCTTCGTGAACGGTTTTTTTGTGTTTTATTAAAGAGCGTTTAATCCCAAATTTCTTTTCGCACCTGTCGCATGTGAAATCTCTGCGATTTTCGTGGACTGTTTTTCGGTGTTTGTTCAGATTGCTTCGATCCCCAAATTTCTTATCGCAATTGTGGCATACGTAATCTTTCCGACCTTCGAGTACTATTCTTTGGTGCTTCGACAAATCTGATTTAATTCCAAATTTCTTGTCACAATTGTTGTATTCGTAATCTTTACGACCTTCATGTACTACCATTTGGTGTGAGAGCAAATTCGATTTTAGTTCAAATTTTTTTTCGCACTTGTCGCATGCGAAATCTCTACGCCCTTCATGGGTTGACTTTTGATGCAAGAGCAAACTTGATTTATTTCCGAATTTTTTCCGCAATCGTCACATAAGTAATCTTTTTGGACTTTGAAGGCGAAATCTTTCCGACCTTCGTGTACTGTCTTTATGTGCACATGCAAACTATGTTTATTTCCAAATCTTTTAGCGCATTTTTCACATAAGTAATCTTTGAAAACGTCATGGAATATTTTTTTGTGCTTGAGTAAAGTTGATTTATTATCAAATTTCCTCTTGCACTTGTTACATGTGAAATCTTCGTGTTTTTTGTGTACTAATTTTTGGTGCACAAACAAACTCGATTTTTTCACAAATTTCTTCTCGCATTGGTGGCATGCAAAATCTTTTGTGCTTTTGTGTACTGATATTTGGTGTCTACTCAAATGACTTCGGAACTCGAATTTCTTTTCGCACTTGTCGCATTCGTAATTTTTTTGTTGATTGTGAATTATGTCTCGGTGTATTATCATGCTTGATTCTAGTTCAAATGCCTCCTGACAAATATCACAAACATATTTTTTGTCGTTCGAAACAATAATGTCGTGTTCACTTAAATTAATGTCTGAGACTACCTCCTCGGTTTTATCCTCACTTTTATCCATTTTAGTACTTAAAATAAACGATATCGAATCTTCTATTTAGTGCCACGGACATTAAATAAGATAAAATTATCTGTTTGTATTATGGTTTCTTTGTCGAGAACGATCATATTCAAATTAATTTGTTTATACTGTAAACATGATCACTATGTCGAAGGACAATGTGAAAATCGTTTATGAGCATATTGTTTACAATTGAGTATTCGATTTATCTGTTTATAAATTGTCTTTAGAATATTTAAAACAATTTAAATTTAATGTAATTTAATACAATTTTGTGACAATTTCTCCAGGAATTTTCTGG